GGTGTCGCAGCTTAATGAAAAATTGTAGACAATGAATGAAAATTGTTACACTAGTGACTTGTGTTGTAATGGCATTGGCTTCTAGAGTGTGCAATTTATAGTATGATTTCATGCCAAGGGCATGGACACGTACGTGTTGACAATATAGTGGTAAGCATAAATGGTGCAATTAGGTGGACGGTTAGGATCTTCTACTCATCTACTGTCCACTGATCTCGATCGCTAGTATTGATAAAAATAGAGTTCACCATCAATTTTTTGTATACTCGACGGACTTTTTTGTAGTTAATATCCATTTTTCCCAATGGTCGTGTTCATGAATCCTCATCAACTAGCCACTTGTAAATTTGTGTGACAATGTTGACTAACGTCATGTCGTAAATTTTTACTACTATCATGTGGCCAAGTTCCATTGCACAGTACCTGACCAGTTAAAAACTGGCAGGTTAGGAGGTTGCCCACATAATTATGTCAAACATTTTAGTACAACTTCTAATTATACTATTCACATCTAAACCTACGTTACACGCTATTTTAAAATATCTTATAAACACGATAAGAATGATATTTGAAAATCGGTGAATATAAAAAATAGTAAAAAAAATCTGTTTATATGAAGAATCACTAAGATCGATTACGATTACAAAGCAGAACCCTAGACTTTCACTCAAAGGAAAGGGGAAACAGAGAGATGAAGAGAGAATGGAATACTCTCGAATGTCCAATACAACAAAGACCAAGTCAACAAATAATATGAACAGTTGCAATCTAAGGGCAGAGAGTCAACCACATGTAAGGCTGATAATAATCATCAATGAGGCTAGAACCCGAAATTACTTAAGCCCAGAACCAGCAACAAACGGCCCAACAGAATAGTATAATGAGACAGCCCATTTAGTTAACAAATTAAATTTCATGTTGGTTCATGTACACCCAATTTGTTTAAATGTATATAAATTATTATTTTTCTATATATATTAATTCAAATTAATTAAATTTCATATTGGTTCACTTACACCCACTTTGTTTAAATGTATACATTATTCTTTTTCTATATTCATTGATTCAAATTAATTACATTTCATGTTCATGAGTCAATTTGATTGTTCTC